ACGGACTTGAAATTCATTATGCTGAGTAAAACTGATCCATCATAAAAGGTCAAATACTGCATGAGACCATTACTATAAAAATACACACCAAGACAAAGGCAATGTTCTGTTCTCAAATCATCTTCTATTCCAGCTTCCCAGGCAATGAGGTAGTGTGCCTGCCTATAGCTAATGAACCACATACCATCCCCTTATTTGTACATCTTTAAAAGAAATCACTTCAACAAAGAAGGTCTCACCTCCACTATGTCAATATTCCATGATGTGGAGAAAGGAAAAAGACCAATCAATTCCTGTCATGTAACATTATTCTGTGGTTACCCCCCAAATAAACAGATACTCCAGCAACAGGTGATAAGTAATCCTTACTGGAAATCCAAGTTAAGTCAAGAAATGATGGGGTGGAGGACATGTCTGTCCCAGAGAAAGGGACCATGCTTCTGTCGACAGGTAAACCAAATGGGGCGGCATGCCATTGGGGAAAATGCTCGACATTACATACATAGACCACCAGTGGGAAAATAAGCTTGGTATCACATCCATAAATGGGCGCTTTTTATCTAGTTTATATTTAGCCCTTAGTGATCAAGATCATGTACTACAAGAGACCCGGTCTTTTGAGGTATATAACATGCTTCACAGAACAGAAAAATCCAAGTTAGAGCTCCCCTAATTGAACTGGCCTCTACCTTAAATACACCCATAACATATTAAAAGAATTGAAATACTCCCAGGGGCCTACACTAAAATGTATTAGTGTCAGAAAAAGCAGACAGCTGTGAGAAGCTTCCAATGACTACTATCCCAAAGCTATGGATGAGAAATTCATTGTACTTTGGTTCACATTTTATGCACAATAAACGGCAACTCAAGACTAGTATGTACATGCCATTTCTATGCTCTCTTTACTTTTTAATGACGTTTAGTCCAGTTCTGTTAGTTATGAACATTATTCAAACGTTTGAATATCTCCAACATTCGCTGTTTGTATAAATAGTGTCCAGTCATCTAAGTTGCTAATCTGTACAAATCAACGATTCATGTATTTTGGGCTAAAAATGGTCTTATAAAAGTTTATGTTTCATTACTTGACAGTGTTCGCAACTCTTTATCATT